AAATCTAGGTAGTCAAACCACGAAGCTCCTAAAGAGCAGAATATCTTGCATTGAAATCGTGAGCCGCAGCAGAATCTGCACCAGAGAAAGAAACAAATTAGAAGCAAAAATTTCCTGCATAGAGGAATCTACTATATCGTCAGGTATTTTTGATGACACCCTCAATATCGATCAATAAACCATAATCTCTTCAGTGTGTCATCATGACTGCAGCAAAAGAAACACATAGATACGAACCCAGAGTTGCCATATCGGTTTGGATAGGTGTGTCTGCCCTATTATGAACCGTATCAGGTTTTTCGCTTCTGATAGAATGACACTTATACCAGTGGAGGTATATACAGGGTGTCCCTGGACTTCCTCTTTTCCTCTTGGTAATGTATAGATGGGGTGAAAATATCACCAGTACTTCATATAACTTTTTTTCCTAAAATCCTTCGTTACCAAGTAACGGGCCCTCGAAGTTACAAAATGAAAAATGTTTTTCTTTGATAACTTTTCTTGAGTGTCACTGATAGAACCTTCCAGATACCAGGCCATCACCGCAATGCGTTACTCTTCATGAGCCATGAAGTAACCAGAAAATTTGATCTCGAACCTGCAGAGAAGATGGAGTCGACCTTAACTGCCCACTCTCAAACACTGGATCAAAAGCAAGAGTTTTCAGTTCGCCAAATCTCGATCCCATTAACAAATCTAGGAAGTTAAACCACGAAGCTCCTAAAGAGCAGAATATCTTGCATTGAATTCGTGAGCAGCAGCAGAATCTGCACCAGAGAAAGAAACAAATCAGAAGCAAAAATTTCCTGCATAGAGGAATCTACTATATCGTCAGGTATTTTTGATGACAAACTCAATATCGACCAATAAATCATAATCTCTTTAGTGTGTCATCATGACTGCTGCAAAAGAAACACATAGATACGAACCCAGAGTTGCCATATCGGTCTGGATAGGTGTGTCTGCCCTATTGTGAATCGTATCAGGTTTTTCGCTTCTGATAGAATGACACTTATACCAGTGGAGGTATATATATAGTAATTGATTTCGTTGAGAACCTGGATTTATTTCGTCGAGTTTGAAAATAGGAGTAAACCACAATGAACCCTCACGAATTGTAGTGGAAGGTTGAATAGACAAACTCACTTTGGACCTACCTTGCATCTTCAGTAGGTAATAAAAAATCATTGTCGAGCGACAGTATAACAGAGAATAGAATTGACGATCTAAGATCTAGAAGTCTGGTTGGAGTTCGTTGACGACATCATCATTTCAACAGCCTTGGACTTTCTATAAAATTCACAATGTAGAAGGAACTAATAAACGTTTTTTAGACGTGAATGTGAAAATGGTCATCTGCCTACAGAAAACCAATAAACTGGACAGTCTCTAACTTCTCAAACCACTAATTTGAAAAGTCAGGAATCGTGAGGCCTCAACAGTCGAACATTGTCGTTAGTCACAACCAGTACTGACCCTTCCCCATATCAGAGTATCGGAAAAGATTAAATCCAAGTACATTAGAATTTGTTTCAAATTTTGATCAGATCAGAACTGCAACAGTCTTCTCGACACGCGTTTCACCAACCAAGTTGGCATCTTCAGGATATGAAGTAGTGACAGTAGGAAGACCGAACCTCTGATATTGCTGTGTATTCATTATTTTGAAATGTATGTACTTTTGGGTTTAGTTCTGTTATAACTGGAGAGTTCTGGGTGTGTTATGAAAGTCATCATAATATTGTAAGACTCCAAAGGATTTTTGATCAATCAAATTCAGAAATATTTGGCTAAAATTTCAAAGCCTTTGGGTTATATGGTTTTGTATTCGTGGTGATGCTCTGATACTACAATAGAAGTTTAGTATCCCTTTGCTGAAACTCATGGTAATGATTCCTAATGTAAGTGACACAATTCAAAATAAACATGGATATCACAGTTAAAATTTGTAACTCAGTAAATAACTGCTTACAAGCATCACCATAATTTTTAAAACACATGGTTCTTAGTATCTTTTTTCGAGCAAATAACAGATCATTCAATCTGCTGCAGTTACTGTAGCAGACTAAGCAATAATTTATACTTGAGTGAACATAAGCATAGTAGTAGCTTAATAAAATATTCATGGGGACAGAATTTCTGAGATTCCAAATAACGAAACAATGCTTGGATAATTGGATAATGTCCTCCTAGTCCATTCTGTCCTTTCCAGGAAGGTGAACAGGTCACTAGGAACATCTCTTTCATATTGGTAGGTGTAGACCAAGACTCGCCGAACACACACTCTCTTTGGCAACCTTGAGGTGTCTCACGGTGGCCTCCGCGAAGGTTTTGGAAGTTGCAGCGACATTACTCTCGTTGCGCGACTTCTTCAACCTTCTTGGGGTTCCCTTCGTAGAGGTGCACAAGTGAGGGAGCTTTTCTGCAGGGGCAGCCGGTTCCTTGCCTTTATTCAAGGCGGAGCTCTTGGCGCCCGCAGACAGAAGTACCCTTGCTGTTGGAGGTGGAGTAGGGGAGGAAGAGGAGGGTGTACTTATAGTTGTTGCCACCCTGCTTCCTTTTTCCTTTTGGCCTCGGCGCCGCAAATGCGCTTACGCCTTGGCGGTAGATTGCGGTGCACATTTCTGTTCATCCACAGCCACCGCATTAGATTGAGGTGAGCACTTCTGTCCAGTTTCGGGATTGATTTTTGTTTTCGTTGTTTGTTTCATTCATGTGTGTTTCCATGAGTAGCAAGGAAAGAGTTCCACGAGTAGCAAGGAAAGAGTTGGTCACCTCTGGTAGAGCCCCACATTACCAGAGGTAGGCTGATTACTATGATGTTTCGCCCACTTCCCCAAGGGGATCATTCGTAACCGCATATTACCCTGCGGCCATTCAGTTGTCGGCACGATTCCTTACACGATAGCTTGGATAGGCTGGTCCACGGTGGCATGTTTCGCAAAGACTTTTGGGGAGTTTTAGTTTCCCTCATCCTACTTATATCTGTCATTGACCAGGAGTCCGGCGACCCCAATACGTAAGGCCACTTTGGCTTTCCTGATAGGGCCTCTTGTTTCGTAGCCGTTCCCCTATCCGCCACCTGGGGAAGCACGAGATGATGGATGGAGTTCATGTTGAAACTCTTATTATTGATATTTATGATTTGAGATCATAAGTAATATATTGCAAAAATCAGCTGAGATTATTTAGTTTACTGGTAAAGGTAAATTATAGCCACATTGAAATTTANATGAATCATTTCAGGTACCTTTCTTTCTTAATAAAAATGCTCAACACTGTATGTTGGTGGGAGCGTCAAACTTTCTGATATGGGCTAAAAAGTCCCGTGTTTTTTCAAATTGGCTCCATTCATCAACGTCACCTCCATCAAAAGCCACACAATGATTTCAATACCACTTCTGTAAAACGATTTATCTTCTGCATCGAAACAGCCCTAGTTTCAGCAATAAACTCATCATTCGAGCGGTGAGCATTTTTTTGAGGTCTGCTGACACCCAGAAGTCGCTGAGAGCCAAATCTGGCGAATACGGTGGATGTGGAAGCAATTAAAAGTTTAATTCATGTAGTTTTGCCATTGTTTCAATTGACGTGTGATGCGGTGTGTTGTCTTTGTTTTGACCCCCGATTGTTTTATTGTGAGTTTGATGCTCAATGCACACAAGAATTACAATAATTTTTGTGGAAAGATAGGAAGAGAAAAATAACTAGCTAGGTGTACTGTAGACAAGACAAGATTTAATTCTTACTGTACTCTTACATGGTTTGAAACGTAATGGATGCTTTTACAAAATGGCAATATTTCACATCGGTAGTTAGAGAAGGGGTCAGATTCGTCATTGTAGGGGTAAAGAGGGGGTTGGATTAACATAGGTAGGAAAAGTCACAATAGCGGACAAGTCCCAAGATAAGAGATCTAAGAAACGAAAGAATTGAAAAGTTGCTATTTGTAGTTTATAATATTTACATGGATATAGGATTGAATATTTGGGTTGTTTAGGAAAAGATAATCGGGAATATAGAATTTTATGAGGATAAGTGGATTAGAAAGGACCCGTACATTAGAAAACCAACTGGAAAACCCCGATTGGGAATAAAGAAATATTGAATAACTTAAACAAGATTGGTTAACAATACATAAAATAAAAATAATGACATAAAAAAATTGTTTTGTTATACAAATTTTACAGTTGGCAACTCTTGGCTAAAATACTGAAAAATTAAGATTCACTTGAAAAAACAATAATTTCGATAGCAAGATTTTGAGACCGAATAGCCTTGATGAAACAAATTTGTTATCTCCGCCATACGCGGTCGGTCCTTTGCAATTTCGGCCTGCAAACGCTCCAATAACGCTATACAATATTCACTATTGTGATATTTATCGTCCTTCTCAAGATAGTCGATAAATATCACCACGAACATCCTAAAATACCGAGGCCATAACCTTTCTAGCCGATTGTTGTGATTTCGGGTGCTTTAGACGAGGTTCACCAGTTGTTATCCACTCAGATGGAGATCGTTCTGATCATGAAGTGGTGGATCCAAGTTCCATCTATTGTCACATATTAACGCAAATAATCCGGTTCCTAATGTTTAAACATGGCCAATCATTGTTCAGAATCATCAAGACGTTCTTGTTTATGGTCAACAGTGAGCTCGCGCGGCATCTACTTTGAACAGAGCTTTCTCAAATACTCTTGTAATATAAAGCCAACACGTTTTTTCGATATCTTTTCAATGGCAGCTAACTCATGCAACTCAACTTTCCGATCAATCATAACGATTTTATGAGTTTTTTGTTTTCTGGTGTTACTGCCTCATTTGAACGTCTACTGCGTTATGCTCTCTTTTGTAGGTTAGTACTAACTGAAAGAGCGGTGAATGTAATAAGAGTAGCGCCATCTATGTGTTAGTCCCGAGACTTTTCAGCCCATGTAATAATACATGTTGCCTTCAACTATAATCAAGTTTATCATTATAACATTCATTCCAGTACACCAATGATGGACCTGTTGGTCCAAATCACCACCAACCATCAGCTCCAGCTGTCCAACTACACCCTCCAAGCTCTGGGAATGGCCCCATCGTCCGAACACAGCGACAAGATTCTCCCTTTCAAACCTAACACTCCGATCGGTACTTTAGATACCCAGAACATCAAGGTCATTCCAAAGTCAAGGACGTTACCCGTGCCGAAAAATGTCCCCCCAGGTCATCAGCCGTTCGAGAGCACTTTCAGGCTGAAAGTGCATCTGCCGAGGAACCAGCTGTACGTGACTAGGGTGAGCAGGAATGTTCTGCTGGAGGACATCATGAAGAAGGTATGCGAGGAGAAAAATTTGGATCCGATGAAGTACGAGTTCAAACATCCAGGTGGGTCACCTCTACAATATTCAGTTTTTTTTTAAAGTGATACTTTGTCATGCCGCATTAGAAAAACGTATAAAAATTCCAAGGAATCTTGATTCTTCATCGAAGAATCTGATGTGTCACTATATTTTTGGTTTGAAGGCCGACGAATTTTGAAATTTTTTCCTGGCGTGAGTGAGTAGCTTCCTCAGGGTTTCATACATCCTGAGTTATTTTCGATGACTGGATATTATGGCTGCGTGAAGCGTATTTATGTTGACTCAGGTAGTTTGGTGTACTAATACCTGTACCTGGTATAGGTAAATTGTCAATAACATTCGTTGACCCTTTTTGTACCTACCTAGCATCATCAGTAGGTAATAAAAAATCATTGTCGAGCGACAGTATAACGGAGAATAGAATTGACGATCTAAGATCTAGAAGTCTGGTTGGAGTTCGTTGACGACATCAAAATTTCAACAGCCTTGGACTTTCTATAAAATTCACAATGTAAAAGGGACTAATAAACGTTTTTTATACGTGAATGTGAAAATGGTCATCTACCTACAGAAAATCAATAAACTCGACTGTCTCTAACTTCTCAAACCACTAATTTGAAAAGTCAGGAATTGTGAGGCCTCAACAGTCGAACATTGTCGTTGGTCACAACCAGTACTGACCTTTCCTCATATCAGAGTATCGGAAAAGATTAAATCCAAGTACATTAGAATTTGTTTCAAATTTGGCTACATCACACCATAACCAAACCAGCAATCGCAGACGATGGCTATAAGAACAATGTTCAGCAGATATAATGCAAGTGAGTTGGTGAACCTGAGAATCGGAATCGAAAATTCTCTATTGTCATGTAGAGTAATTTCTAACGACATAGCTTACTCAAACGTAGCATAATAAAAAGACAAAGTACTGAACAGGTACTTTTGGGTTTAGTTCTGTTATAACTGGAGGGTTCTGGATGTGTTATGAAATTCATCATAATATTGTAAGACTACAAAGGATTTTTGATCAATCGAATTCAGGAATATTTGGCTAAAATTTCAAAGCCTTTGGGTTCTATGGTTTTGTATTCGTGGTGATGTTCTGATCTTACCGTTGTCTACAAGTGAAGTAGAAACAGATCCCGTGCTCTGAGTGGAATATTTGACTGATTGATAAAGCAATTGCGCACATTCATAAACTGTGATCTCGTGCTTTCCTTTGAATTTTCTATCTTGTCAGGAAAAATTCTTTCGGATCCGGAGTGATCCTATTCTTTCACGGACTTTGGATATGTTTCCATCAAACACACGTTGATAAACAAATGTTTTTAACATTGAAATTACTAATGTGATAAATGTTGGCACAATCACCAATTCACACGTTATTTTTTATAAGTGAAAGGCTCATTATATACCGTCAAAATTGATGCTTGAATTATTAGTTTAAACATCGGTCGCTATTGGCAAATCTTAAATATTTCATTAGCAGTTTCGGACTGTGTCGAATTCCAAGGTCCTCATATTCGAAAGTAAATATTAAAAATTATTAGTTGAGAGGTTATCGTAACTTGTTAATTCTGCTAATGAAACAAAATCCATTCGATATTTTGAAACAGCCGTGTTAACCCGACAAAAACAAATTTGTACTTTCAGTGTTTTCCATTAAAGTCCTTATTTGTTTTTCTCTGGCGTATACTGGTTGGGAAATGTCAATGGAAAACCACTTTATTTATACTCCGATATCGGATATGCTAAAAAGGCGAATGGAATATAAACAACGTTGATTGCGATGTACTCGTTTCAATTAAAAATAATCGCCTATGACGCATAGACTCGAAATGACTGAAATGTTGATTTATTTCCAAAAAAGGGTAAAATAATGGATATGTTGAAATACCTTCGGAGGATAGGGAATGTCGAGTGTTTTAATTTATATGGTCAAAGCATTACTTACTGAAGGAATTTGAAAAATAAAAATAGTATTATGGATGCGATGTACTGAGAGAATTTATATTTATAATTGCAGTTCAAAACATTGGAGTTTTCACTCCTCATAATCTTACAAATTCCTGCCAAGAAGTAACTAGTTTCCTGGCTAAAACCATGCCAGCATTAGAGTTAAATTTATATTCATGCAAATTATCCTACACAAATGATAAATAACTGTCAAAATACATTTATTTATCATCGTTTGGCTGTCTTGGTTGAATTTATCCTGCACTGACGAGAGGTATCACTCCCAAACTGCTATGTAAGTAATCACTCAGCAACGATCTGCTATTACTGGATGAATGAGAAGTATCTGCAAGATATAATCTAATATCCGTCGTGGCATTAGCCTCAAAATAAGAAGTTTTTCGTCAGGAATTTGACAGATTCCAATGTGGGGAAACTTTGTGGGGTTGAATGAACGTTACAAATTTCAATTGGGAGTAGTTTTTTGTCAGTCGTGAGTATTTCTCCTCATCAGATCAGTTACTTTCAAAAAATTATGCAGGATTCAATGGAATATCTGTTTATCAATTGTTGGAAAAAATCAATTAATTTTGAAAGATTGAGAAATCTGTTCAAAATCTATTTTTCCGTTAACCAGCTATCACCTCCCGCGACAACTCTCAAAAGTCTTCTATAAAGCAATAAAAAAAAATACATAGTATAAACAGTAGAATATTAACAAGCTAACAATCGTGATGTCAAGCAGCCAGATCAGTTTGAAAATATTCATCAAGTGAATAAAAGGCATTTTTGTAGAGAACCGTCAACCGGGGTTATATCGGATGGCAGGGGTTATATTGGACGATGTGGTTGTATTTCAAATTGAGCGCGCTACAGATGTTGGGTGACAGTTCGGTTACTGAACAAAAATATCCCTAGAATAACGGATAACCTACCAGTCGTACATGTGTTTCGCGATCGATCAGAAAATCAAGGTAAGCTCACAAAAAATTAATTAGTAGAGTCACTTTTTTTTTAATTGAGACAGCCAAATAGTATCCTCTGGCGTGTGAACCCTGTGCATGATAGCTACATGGTGCAATGGGATTAATATCTGTTTTTAATCTTATAAAGACCCCCATAACATCAAAGTTCATTTTGCGTCCTTCTTTTTTGCATAAAATCGAAATTAACTGAAAGTGTGTTTTTCAGGGGTAATATCGGATATGCCACGAAAACACCTTCATAAACTGGGAACGCCTTATCGGCGCAATTATTTCCAAGAAAGCATGGAAAGAGCCGTATTAGATGGTGAATATTCATTCAAACAAGCAGCAGAAATGCACGGTGTACCAAAAATCACCCTTTACGATATTTGCAGAGGTGAGCATTCTGATAGACTCAGGAGGCCCCCAATTTTGTCAGTGACTGAAGAGCGTTGGATAGTAGATGCCATGACTACTGCAAGAAAATTCTGATATTTTTTTGAGAGGCAAACAATCAAGGACATCGTGCGCCATTATTTTGAACAGTAAGGGCGTAAATATACAATGTTTTATCCAGTGATGACTGGATTGAACACTTTATGGGGCGACACAAGGAATTATCACTCCGTAATTGTGAAAATATTAAACTAGTGAAAGCTGAAATCACAGAAGACACGATTGAAGAATACTTTATGCACTTGAACGAGACAATCCAGGGGGTTTCACCTGAAAATATTGTTAATATGGATGAAACAAACCTATCAGATGATCCCGGTAAAAAACTAGTTTTTATTCCTCGTGGAGAGAAGCATGCGCGAAGGATAATGGATTTTTCCAATATGTCAACGTCTGTTATGTTTGCTGCGGCTGGAGATGGCAATTGTTTACCTCCATACGTTGTGTACAAAAGTACAAACCTCTACCCAGACTGGATAGAAGGTGGTCCCGAAAACACGCAATATAACAGAACAGTAAGTGGATGGTTCGATACTCAATGTTTTGAGGACTGGTTCCTCAAAACAGCCCTTCTCTATCTGGGACGAAAGGAGGGCAAGAAGGTTCTTATTTGCGACAACCTGGCAAGCCATCTTTCCTACCGCATTATCAAAATTTGCACAGAAAACAATATTCGGTTTGTTTTTTTGCCGAAGAATTCGACACACCTTTGTCAGCCTCTGGACGTTGCAGTATTTGCACCTCTAAAACGGGTGTGGCGAGAAATTCTAACCGAATGGAAACGGACCCATAAAGGAGTTTTGCCAAAATCTGTATTTCCTTCGCTGCTGAAGAAGCTTCTGGAAAAATCGATGGATAGCATTTTAAATAATATACGGTCTGGTTTCCAAGCATCCGGCATAATCCCATTCGGTCCAGAACAAGTTTTGAAAAGGATTCGGAAACAACCAGCAGGAGGCACAGATGATGCAATGAGAGCGTCATTTACAGAAGTGATGAACGCGATTGTTGTTCCTTTGGATCAAACCACGACTAGACCCAAACGTAAGTCGAAGATTAACTTCCCCGCTGGCAAATCGGTGAGTCTTGAAGACCTATGCGAAGTGAATGGTGGTACGTCAACGGTATCTATCTCTCAAGCAGATATCATTGAAGAAAACCCATCAACGTCTCAACAAAATGCCAATAATGATACTACAAATTCTGCGATCTTTTTAGAAAACGATAGTGTTAACGACGACTCCTCGTCTAAAGTGCCGAACGATGAATCCTCGTTGGAAGTACGTAACGTTAACGTTACAAGAAGGCTGTTTTGCTGTAGATAAGTTTTTGTGCAATGAAGGGACCAAGAAAGAAACGACCAAAGAATTCGTTGCGCAAATTGAAAAGATTGCAAAAAGGTATATTGATGTGAATTGCCTCAGATCCTATAAGGGTCACAAAGATTCCTTTGTTTTTCCGGACGTTGAAGACAAGATCAAGATCAAACTTNGAATGACTCACATTAAGCATTTGGGCTACACGACGCCTTGAATACCCTACTTCGATCAATGCCACTGCTTTAGCAACTTGAAATTCGTTGAGGTAGACTCTACGTATCCTCCTTCTACCCGATACATCAACATTCATTGTTTAAATTTTGAAATTT